CCGTTCTCCTCTGCCTCCACCACACTGTCTTTCTGCCCCTCTGTCCCTCTGCCCATCTTCCACCATGTACCTCTGCATCTGCCCATCTGCCTCTGTCTTTCTGTCCCTCTCTCCCTATACCACTTTTCCCCATGTCCATATACCCCACTGCCCCTCTGTCCCTCTATTCCTGTGTCCCTCTACCACTTTGCCCCTCTACCACTCTGTTTCTCAACCCTCTACACCTCTGCTCTTCTGCCTCCTTGCCCCTCTGTCCCTATGCCCCTTTGTCTCTTTGCCCCACTGTCCATTTGTCCTTCTGTCTCTCTGCCCCTCTGCTCCTCTTTCCCTCTGTCCCTCTCCCCTTCTGCATCTCTGGCCCACTGCCCCTCTTTGCTCTGCCCCTCTGCCCCTCTGGCCCTCTGGCCCTCTGCCTGTACCGCCCCTGCAACTGCAGCTGTAGCTGTAGCTGAGAGAGCCAGGGCTTGCAACCTGCCCTGGACAGGCTACCCAAACCTCTGATTCTGTCCTAAGAGATTTAACACACCCAGCATTCCCAGCTGGACTGCAGCCCAGTGGAACCTTTGTCCACATCTCTGCTTTACCCTCTTCTCTCTGGCATACAGTGACCTCTGATGCCTCAGACAGAAGTGGATGGACAGCAGACCACACATATTAATTGCACTAAATGATGTTTCATATCTGGATGTGGCAGTTTGGTCATGTTTGCCTCTCAGATTACCTCTCTTTTACCCCTCCTCCTCCATCCCTTGCTCTTTCCATTTTCTCTGTCTTTCTTACCTAAATTACATGTACAGGTAAAACTGTGTGTCATCTCTCCGAGTCTAGTTAATTTTGCTTAACATGTTCTCCAGCTCAACTCATTCTCTTGTGATTTTCATGTCATTTTTACACTGCCAAGAGAAAGGCAACAAGAATGTGCAGTAAATACTTTCCTTGTCTATTTTGTTGATAGACATTTGTTATCTTGGCTATTGTGAATAGTGCTATAGTAAACATGGTAGCATATGTACCTCTATTGTATGATGTCTTCGATTCTTTCAGATACACAACAGACCTTGTACCTGGATCATACACTAACGATAGTTCTAAATTAATCGCGCTAGAAACTAAGGTGTCAGGTTATTAGGGACCCTTTTATCAAGCTCAGTAATGTCTGGAGAGATCTGAGCTACATGTGTCAGAGTCCAGAGCACAGAAAATATGCAGAGGTGTGGTGGGGTACCTCTCTGACTGACACGTGTATTCAGGGGACTGGAACAAATCTTCAGTTGTGTGGCTTCAACCAAAGATCCCTAAAGCAGTCAAACTTCTTTTCACATCCGTGGTTCTGGCCTTAAGCATCTCCTCATCATTTAGTAGATCACCGCCTAGTTCATAAAGAAGAGCTAAATCTTCCTTACAGTGTTGAAGGTAGCAGTCATTTCCCTCCCTGCCTGCCTTGTGCCCTTTCCCACGGTTTCCTTCACTCTCCAGGCCGCAGCCCTTTCTTCATCCTGCTCTTTACAGTCTCAGCTTCCCCTCTCCCTTCACGAAGTGCCCTGGTCCTCCTGCTCTCCCTTATGCCCCTGCCTGAAGTAAGCAAGGCTAGCAGTTCAGACTTAGTGCCATTTCCCTCCATCTTCACTGCATAGTGTGCTTTTATCCCCTCCCCCACCACCCCTGCTGTCCTGAGCTCACGGAGGAGAGGAGCCCGGACATCCAGTCTCTCCTGAGCTCTTTGAGACTGGGCCTGAGCTCTGAACTTCTGACTTGGTATCTGCCTTTTTTAGGTTTAGCACAGCTCCTGCTCAGTCAGTTGAGCTGTCCTGCATAGCCGAGCACTCTCAAAGTCTGCTTTGCATTCTTATTCGTGCATACACCCAACAGAAGTCTGGAGACTCTGGCCACACTTAAACAAAGTCTTCTTATCTTGATTAACCCAGGATTCTCCCTGAGCACAGGGATTCTTATGAATGGGTTTCCTTCTACCACCCTCCACCCCACAGCTCTCAAGTTATCAATCCCACAAGTGCACACAGCCATTTATTTTTTAAAGATTGGTTTAGTTCAGTTTACATGTGTGACTATTTTACCTGTGTATATGTATATGCACCATGTACTTTCATGGAATCTGTGGAGTTCAGAAGGCAGAAGTAGATAACCTGGCAATGGAGCTATGGACAATCGTAGGCCACCATGTAGGGTAATGATATCTGAATCCAGATCCTCTGAAAGAGCACCAAGGTGCTTTTAATCTCTCCAGTCCCAATCAAGCTTAATTTTAGAGACAGTGACATCAGTTATGGCCCTCAATGCATGACCTCAGTTAAGAGGTAGCTAAACCTATCTTTTTCCTCCACAGTAAGGGTCACAGACCTGGTAGCCCAGTATTTAGGTCAAAGGGGAGACTTAGCTACAAGCTATGTCTTGACTTTGGAGCAGACCAGCTCAGCTCCTTTCCATTTTCCTGTCTTGAAGCTCCTCTGGAAAACAGTCTCCCTTTCTCCTGTTGAAGAACCCAGTAAACGTTTTCCTTTTATAGTTCTAATGCTGTGACTTTGACGTCTCTGAGCTCCTGGACCTATCACCTTAGACCTCAGGTATTCATACTTCCATGTTGGGCCTTCACTCCTGACCTGTATGCTTGACATCTACTTATGAATCATATTCCAGAAGCATTGCTCCAGGCAGCTTTATGAAAGCTGGTTAAGGTGGACATAACTCCTGAAGTTTGAGTCTACTCTGAGGCTGGGTTAGAACCTCAAACTTCTTTCAAAAGAAAGACTCTTCCTAGGTTCAAAGACCTTTATTTTTAAGCTTTGCCTTAGATAGGCACTATTCCCAGACTCCTTGTACTTGAAAAAAATTTGCTGGGATAAAGAGACCTCTTCTCCTATGGGAGGTCTCATCTGAATGGAATCCTATTTTTAAATCCCTACTGACTCTGACCTATTTTTGACCAGAATTTTGATGACGGGAACTAGAACACTCATTGCAGTATTTGAAATACCTTATCAGATGTAGCAAGTTCTGTTCTCTGTTTCCGTCCTCCTCCCCCGTCTAGTCATCTTCAAACCTTTTCCCTCCTGGCCATGAATCCCTTAATACATGCCTTGTAAATCCTTCCCGTTTTCTCTTATACCCTGCCACACTGTTTCTTTCCCACCCCAGATTGTGTGCTACACAGTCACTGGCCCAGTAGGCTCATTCTTCCATGAAGGGATTCAGAGTTGTCAACAACATTGGGATGAACCTCTAGTAGAAGAAAGTCCATCAGCCAGGTACTGAGTACTTCATATCCTCAGATGGGCAATGCAGACATTCAAATAGGGCTATTTGATCCCTCATCTAATAAACAGTCTATAGATTACAGAAAATTCCATAGTAAGATCCACAGAAATTGAACAGACTTCTCCACAAATATTCAGTGTGTGTGTGTATGTATGTGTGTATATATATATATATATATATATATATATATATATATATATATATAAATATAAAAATGCTTATTTATCATTGGCTTTTGTGTTACTTATTTATGTGTTATTTAACATTCAGAATGACAGCTATAAGATCTGTCCCTCCAATTGTGTGTCTGTATATGAATAATACATACTAGATATTTTCTATGTCTGGTTACATGTATATAATGGATGCACCAACTCTCTTAAAGGATTTCTATTTAAGTTGGCTTAGAAATAAATGAACACTTACATAAATTAAATATTCACACACCTCATAGAAACAAGGAAAGAAAAAGATATTCTTCTCAAGTATACCTTTTCATTGCATCTCGAAATGAGGAATTGGCATGGTGGGTGGCTAGAGGGGTATCAGTAAACATTTGAACTGGAGATCATTGGCAATACCTGGAAAGCTACCAGCTCCTTCCAAAACAAAAATTGTACTTCTGATTCCTAAAACTTGTTTTAAATGTGCCATGAGTACAAGTAGGCAGCAGTGAATATGTATTTGATTAGGGATGTAAAGGTTTCTAGTGGACTGCAGTGACGTCAGTGCCAGGAATGCATCCAACTTCCTTGAAGTTAGCTTGTATTAAACCAGGTACATACAGCTTGGTTGCAAGCCCCTTTGGTTAGAACAGTGCTTTTCAACTTGTGGGTTGCAATCCCTTTGAGGAGGTCACATATCAAATATCCTGCAGATCAGATATTTACATAATCATTTATAATAGTAGCAAAATTACAGTTATGAAGTAGCAATGAAGATAATTTTATGGTTGGGGGGTCAGCACAACACGAGGAACTGTATTAAAGGGTCATAGCATTAGGAAGGTTGAGAACCACTGGTTTAGTATCTTATAGAAGGCTGCTCTCTGTGAAGCAAGTCAGATGGCCTCGGTGGCATTACAATAATCCTATTCTACAATTCTGTCAGCAAGCTCCTCAAACTTGGCCAGTGTTTACTGTGTCCAACAAAGTACCCTGTGCATGGGCTCTTGAGTATCAAGTGGCACATGTTCTGAGCTGTGCTGTAACCTAGTGCTTTCTGGTGCCTGTCTTTTCCACAAACTCAGGTGGTCTGGGGTCTGGGCTGGTGCTGTAAGCCTGGGTGAGCGGACCCCGATCCTGGCACCACTCTTCTGCTTCTCAACCTTCTTGTTTTTTACATGTGGCCTGATCAATTGCCCAGGAATAACAAGCTGTGTTATAGCCAAATGTGTCAGAATATGTGTTTAACAACAATGATAGGGTGTCTTTTGTGACTTACTATATCATATTACTAGGTATCCAAAAGTTATAATGTTGTGTTCATTTCCAAGTATTATGTGCCTTCTTGGGGACATGTAATAAGGAACATAATAGGCTCAAGTGCAAGTTTCTATTAGTGATTCTTTCTTTCTTTTTTATTTAAACGGATGTCGTATAGCAGTTTCATCCTGGATTGAAACCTTGTATCCTGCAAAAAAAAAGCCCACTGACCAGATTCACTAGGCCCCGCCCTCCCCAGACTATATAAATAGTAAGGACTGCTGTGCGTCACTCTCAGACCAGTGGAGCAGCCTGGAAGAGACCAGCAGAACTGCTTAGAAGGAGCAAAGAACAGTTGAGCTTCCTGGAAGAGGTTCAGACTAACTGAGCCACCTGGAAAGGCTCTGCAACCTATCGAGCTGCCTGCAGGCCTTAGAGTGTGCTTTGGGTTTCCAGATTTTATGAGCCATCACTCAGGCCGAGATAGGCTTTGGTGACAAAGCCGTCTTTGAGTCATCTCTGATCCTGTAAGCAACCCCTCGCCCATATTCCTGTAAGTAACTCTGGCAAAACCCATTTGTTCACCGAGGTGGAGGTAGCTATAACTGTGACTTTGGTCTGTGGTGGGCCCCCTTTCTGTGGTGAGTAAATGTATGTTGTTTCCCTAGAAAAGGTATGTTTCACAGTAGCAGCTGAGTGCAAAATATTCTTAGGAGGCAAAAGAAATAGGTAAAGCTAATTAATGTAACTGAGAATCAGACACAGTCCTTGAGGGTCCTAAGATACAGGCTTTGGCCCTGGGGCACCCACTTGCTACCTCACACTACTGTTCATCTCCTCCCTGCCTCACAGCTGCCTGCTCTTTCTATTCCTTTTATGCTCAGTCTTACTTCTTTTCCTCCTCTCTTCCTTCTTGTAGGTTAGACTCCAAGAAGGTCCTGGCAGTAAGTGACTGCTTAGGAGGAGTTTGATGGGATATACTTGGGTAAAGAGTCCGGGTTGGAAGGGAATGTGGCTATGACTTATGAGTCCCTATAATGTACACAGGGCTCAATGTCCAGTAAGTTGAATATTCAAAGGTATCCTAAATGTCTTTTGAAGATTTTGAGCAGACATACTTTTATGAGCCTCTGCTTTTACCACAACCTTTGTACATAAAAAAAAAAAAACCACCCTGGAGGCAGTCTTCTGTAATGTTTCAGTAGGTGAAGGCACTTGCTGCTGAGTCTAATGACCCAAGCTTGAGCCCTGGGGCACATGGTAGAACTGATTCTCTTAAGTTGTGTTCTGACATCCAAACATGTGCTGTGGCACATGCACACTATGGTACAGGTCTATACACACTTATCAAATACATTCAGTAATTGAAAGGGATTGCAATCTACTCACCCAACTCAATGTTTATCTGCCAAGGCTTTCATATTTATGGACATTGGTTTTCACATGTTTAAGACAAGATATTCACCCTACAACTTTCTTAGGAATCTTACTAGCTGCCCTAATATCACAAAGCTCTAGGATTCTACAATTGAAAGGAAGAAAGAAAAACTTTGCACTTGAAAGTGGGGACTGGAGAGATGGCTAAATGGTTAAGAACATTTGTTGTTTTTTCAGAGGACCAAAGTTCAGTTCCCAGTATGCACCTCAAGTGCTACATAACCACCTGGATATAAGTTGAGCAGAGGTCCAGTGCTCCCTGCAGTCACCCTGCATGTGCACACACACAAATAACGATCTCTTTCAATGGTGTCATCAAGGTTGTTTTTGCAGTGTCTTGTCCACCAGAATGTTACACAAACCTGGCTCCAACATGCCACTTCTGCTGGTGGAGGACAGTGGTTGGCTGTGTTTTTATTGTCCACTCAGAAATTTAGAAAAAAGGCAAACTGAGCTAACCATGTTCATATAATTCTCAATTCTTTCAATGTGTACTCAGTGAGATATAGAGACTAGACGTTCTCCAGAAGTTCACTTGGAGACCATGTGCTCAGTGTGAATTCTTATCCTCATCCCAACTTGTATATCCACAACAGCTTGCTCTCCTCTCCAGTCTCTTCCTCTGAAGGTTTTGATTAAATAATCAATTAATTAGGTACATCCCAAAAGCTACCCCCCATCCTAGTCCTCTCTGCACAGAATTCCTCCCCACATCCCCTCCTCTTTTCCTCTGAGGGGTCCCCTGGGTACCCTCCCAACATGACCATCAAGTCTCTGCAGGGTTAGGCATAGCCGCTGAAGGTTTTGATGGGTTCCAAGTTGAGCATGTTCTGCACGTGCTCCCTAGAGCCACTTCCATTGAGCACATGTCTTTTATAGGGATCGTGGGATAGAAAGAGGACAGATATGAAACTTACTAAAAGGCTGCAATTCCATTTCAATTTGCAAGACATTTGTGGGACGTAATGCTACTCCCTTGCAGATTCCACCATGGCTTCCCAATCCCATCATGTGGACCCCAATTTCTACAAACTGGAGGAGAATGAGATCGAGGTGACCTTTGATATTGAACAAGAGGCTGATGCAGCAGCAGCAGGAGGGAGCTTTGAAGAAGGTTCTCAAAATGGCTCAGACAAACTAAACTACCAGGGCATTCCAGATGACAATTATGATATGATCCTCATTGGCGATGTGAAGTATTTTGATAATGACATCAAAGATGAGTGCAGTGGGAGCTACCAAGGCTCTGGAGATCCACAGCTGGAGGAGCAGAAGAACGTGGCTGCTGCCAGAGTTCCACAGTTCAGGCGCACAAGACCGCGGATCCAGTTGGGTCTCACGCCCAGGCAGCTGAGTGAATTGGAAGACTTTTTTGAAAACACTAAGTACCCTGATGTGATCGCAAGGTATGTGGCTTGTTTTAGAAGCAATCCCAACTTCCATCCTTTAGGATCTCCTTTGGAGGTGCCTTCTCCCTGATATGGCCCCTCATATGCCTTGAGCCTCAAAGCATGAGGACCTTTGTGTTGCTGAGTATTGGAAGGAGATAGGAGATTTTTTTTTTTTTTTTGGTGAGGGCAAAGGCAGTATATTCATTCAGTGTTGATGTGTAGAAATTGATTGGTGCCTCTCAATTCCTTCCTTCAGTTTTCTTTTTGTTTATGTTTTTATTCCTCCCCTCCTCCTCTTCCTCTTCATGCTTCTCTCTGCCTCCTATCTTTTGTAATGGGAATTGAACTCAAGACCTGGTGGTTTCTAGGCAACCCCTCAACTAGTATGCCATATCTCCCTTGTTTTAATTAATTAATTAATGTATTTATTTATTGTGGTGAGATAAATGAAAAGCCACTTTTATGTTTAGGAGCTCAGCATCTTTAGATATTTATGCACCGGTATGTGACCTGTCTCCAGAAGTCTCTTCATCTTGCCAAGCTAAGATGCTGTCTCCTCTAACAACTTCACTTTCCCATCTTCTTTCCACAGGAGGATCCTTGCAAAGCACTTGTACCTGGCAGAATCCAGAGTGAAGGTCAGTAAATCTGAAAAGGTTTTGGATAGAGCACTCAGCTTCGGGACATGGACCATTTTCTTACAGCCATTATTAAAAGCGAGCGGAGGTGTGGTGGGGGGTGTCCTCGAATGTTTTATAATGGTTATCAAGCATTGAGTGTCAGAGTTTTCCAGAAAAGAAAATGGAGCAAGCACCCAGAAGCTTATAACTCTTTCCTACTGCTAAAAGCAGCATGATCACTTAATTAGGAAACAAAACAAAACACAAAGTAGATTACTTATAATCTGTATGTAAACATCAGATGAATAGACAGCATTGAATATTATAATTCTATGTATATAGGAGGACATAAATTCATACTGCTATATCCTCAGTGATTAATACTGGAGTCCTGACATTCAGATCATTTGCAGGACACTTATGTCTAGGGTCAGATAGTAGGACTCTAATTGACTTTAGGGACACTGTAATTGATGTAGCAAACAACGTAATGAAAACCATTCAGTTGTATCAAATGTACACTTGGATAAGAGCACAAATTAATTGAGACAAGGGAGAAATTCTTCCAAGAAACAGAGTTTTTCAACAACTAACCTGTGTTTAGTTCACCTAATAGTTATGTGGACACTTGTGGACAATAGGAGACACAAAGTCCACACGGTTGACCCTCCACCTTTGTAAGTCCATGGAAAGGTGATGTAGACAGTGGTAAGGTAAGTCCTCTTCCCTCATGCTGAGTTGTAGCTAACTGAAAACATTGCCAAAATAGTCAAGTTAGTATTTGGAGACATCTAGGGCTGATACCTTTGGAAATCAGTGTTTAAATGAAACAAAAAGAATGGAACAGAAGTAATTTCAGTTAATCTAATAAGTAGGACCTGATTAGAGGAAACTATGCAAAGTCAAAATGCAGGCTAGGGCTCAATGGATAAATCAGTTGCCAGATGAGTCTGAGAACCTGAGTTGGGGTCCTCAGCACCTGCACACAAGCTTAGTAGGTGTGGCAGCTCATCTACAGTCATAAGTAGGAGGTAGAGGCTGGGGAGTCTCAGGATGCTCTAGACTAGCTTAGTTGCTGAGCTTGGGGTCAGGGATAGACTCTGCTGGAGTAAATCATGTGAGGGGAAATATAGGAGGATGCCTGACTTCAGTCTCAGTCCTCTGCAAGCACCATACACCAGTCACAGATAAAGTAAAGGCTAGAAAGCCACTGCCAAGTGAGTTTTCTATTGGATAACTTGAAAACTGGAAGGGTTCTCTTTCCTTCGAAGGAGACTATGTTGAAGATGTAAGGTGTTTTTTTTTTGTTTTTTTGTTTTTTGTTTTTTTTTTTTAATTTGGGGAAAGATAGACTTCACTTGAAGGCAAAGTCATGTTTTTCTTATTTTCAAATGAATTTATTTTCTCCAGACAGTAAAGACTAATGTTTAGGTCATAAGGTCAAAAGCTGAGGTCATGAGTCCTCCCAAAAACTGAATACTCCATGTCAAATCAGAAAAGACAAAGGCAACACAGTGTGCTATAGTGCTAACTTTGTTCGGAGTGCATCCAGGCAGCCATGATATAAGCAGGCTGTGCTACCTGAAGTAAATACTGCAGAACAGCATTCCCACATAGTAGGTCTCTGAGTGCTGGCATCCTAACATCACGAGTAGGATCAACAGTAGGACCAGGCTCAGGTGGGAGATACTGGGAGGAAGAAGAGAGGCTTTCCCAGGATGGAGAGACAGAGTGAGAGGAAAAGAAAACCTGAAGGTGTAGGGGATTTTTCCCCTCTCCGAGCTCACAGGGCAGTGCACTGCAGCTCTAGAGAGACTGCACCTCTGGAGAGAGCATGGCCACAGGACACGGGAGAGGAGGAATCACTCACGTGCTCCTGTTTGTACACTCTGCAGTGTGAACTTCCCAAAGCCTTCCAGCCTGATTTCCTTTTCTTCTGGCAAACATAATGGATGGGCTTTAAGAATCAAACATGGGGAACTCTGGCCTAATGTGAGCTCACATGAGTCAGCCACTGGGGTTTTGGTTAAGTTCATGGAGGCATCCTGATGGTAGGTTCAAGTCCCCATCAGCAGGGCTTTGGTCCCCTGATCTTCTTTAGACTATACATCTCCATGACAGAGGGTTCCAGGCATGGAGAAAAAGTATGTGTAGTCACAAATGTGCAGTTTGAGAACTCCTTAATGTAACAAATACATGGAACCCCATTCACTAGGAGTCTGAGAGGATGGTGACATCTAACAGGTAACTGTGACTGTATGTTCATAGTTGGCCAATGTGTTAAGGAGGAGGCAGTTTTGTTACTGTTGTCCACGTTGTGGCAGATTGCCTTCCTGAATAGAGGTTCAACCTTAAGGCTTTGAATTTCATGGTAGAAAAACAGGGCCCAGGATGCCATGTCATGCTGGGCAAGAAGCAGAGCATCTATATCTTCAAGTTGCAGTTCTTCCTCAGAGCATTGCCTTCATCCTGAGCCCAGAAAACTTAAGAGCGCATGGAGAAGAGGGAGGGAAGAAGTGGCTTCCCCCTCTCCCTTAAACTCCCTGGAAGCAGGAGGGTGTCAAGATAAGTGAATAATTATTTGAATTCGTTTCATTCTCCTAACCCTATAGGTGACAATGTCACAGCTCTGGCCTCCTTTGGATGACCACCCTTGAATTCTAGAGTCTAAGGACTGGTGGTGCCTTAGGCACCCTCCAAGGCAGGCTTCTGTAAAAACCCTGTACATATAATATAATGTAATATAATATAACCCCATATGAGGAGGCACCATTGAGAGTTGGGATCTAACTGCTTATGTAAGACATCTCAAGTCCTTTGGTCAGGTTGCAAACAATCAGGGTGTGATTGTTGAAGTGTGTCAACGTCATTCTTATTTTTGACCTTTTCATACAGAAAATATATTTTGTTTCCTTAGAGTCATCCATCACCTCTGGCTCTTATAATATTTCTGCCTTCTCTCCTGCAAGACTCCTTGAGCCCTGAGGGGGGGGCTTTGATGATGACATCCCACTTAGGACTGAGCACTCCAGTGTTGTTTGGGGATGCTCACTCAGATACAGTTTATAGCTGATTGAAAGTATTTATTCCAGCCCTCTGGGACCACAGCCAGGTATTCTGGTGCCAGGGTGTAGCCCCGAGTGTCCAGAACACAGGGTTTTTAAAAGCAGAAACTACACTCTGGCATCTCACTCAGCAGCTGCAAGGGGGCTTTCCAGAAGAAAACACTCCGAAGCAAACTGTTTAACTAAGCTGGCAGTTTAACTGAAGCTAAGATGAGTTAGGGAGGACATTCCTGATCTTTGCTTCCTAGAATAGAGTTGGATAATTTTCCATGGGATTCTCCATCAAGGACATTAAATTCTAGTTAAATCTGAAATGGCCTCAGCTGGAATATGAAATGGGGGAACGTTTTTGTTGTATTGCCCTGACACAAAGTCTCTTACTCTCAAGCACAAGACCTTCACAGGTTTGAACCAGACAAAACCCCAGTCCTGACAGAGGGAACTGAACACAAAGTCCCACCTCCAACCAAGGAGTTATTTGCAATGGATACCTGCTAGGAGAGGGAATCAGTTTTCTCCAATGGAGAGACACTGAGTGTATGAAGCACACTGTGGGGCAGGCCCTATGCCCAGGAATAGTTCTGGCTGACTCTGCACTTTCTATGATTTTTGTTTGCTTGTTTGAGTTGTTTTAGTATGTTTTGGTCCTATTTTTTGTTTGCTTTGATTTTCATTTTGAGTTGTAATTGTCTTAATATATATTAAGAGAGAGAGAGAGAGAGAGAGAGAGAGAGAGAGAGAGAGAGAGAGAGAGAGAGGGAAGTTGGGTGGGTAGGATGGTGTGGAGGATGTGGGAAGTGTTTAGAGAGGAACAATCATAGTTATTTTGTATAAAATAATTTTAAAGAAAAAACCAAAACTATAAAAAAGCCAATTGTTCTGCTTAATGTAAAGGCTCATTGGCACATACAGTTACACGGTGTGGGTTTTCTTTTTCCAGCTGTGATACTGACTGTTGAATTATATACTAAAGCCATCTCTTTCATCGTGTCATTGCAGAGATGGTTTAAGAGACGAAGAGCCAGATACAGGAAAGAGCAAATGTTCAAGTGTGCATCTGCTGATGGGCAGAATGCCTTGCAGTAAAGCCTTTGGAGGAGTCCCGAAGCAGCGTCCTCTCCAGGCATCAGATGAAGGCACATAGGCACTAATACTGTCCATGGAACCTTATTCCTTCAGCAATAAAGAGACATGCATTCAATATGTTTCATGTCCTTTCTAGGGGTCAGTAAGTTGTGGATGTATATTATTGAGAAAATGTCATTGAAACAGAAGGACAAAGTGAGATGACAACCCAGAGTCATTTTTATTACTGCACAAATCACAAAGGTTTCTTAGGAGCAACAGAAGTCCTTACTCAGTCACATATTCTTCCCTGTTGCCACATTGTGCTAGCCTTACCCTGACTCTTGACCCTGTGAGAACAAATACATTAAATCAGGAGCAGGACAAGTTCCAAGTGAGAAGACAGTTCACAAAGAGGGCTGAGTTCCACCCATACTTGGGACATTACTCCTATCTCTGCAACAAATACACAAAGAGGTAACTGAGCACTCATGAGAGGAGGAGTGTGAACAATCAACTAGGCTGCCCCAGGTCTGTTGACTGTCCCTATTTTCAATGACGTGGTCACGGTACTAGGAGTCATTCTGCCACAGGTCCTATTGCTTCAAAGTAAACACAAGAGCCCATCCCATGCTGGTTAGAAAGATGTTTCTTCTCTTCTCCCATCCCTATGCACAAGATGCACAAGAGGCCAGGCCAGAGAGGCAAAGGATTCTCAGTAGATATACACCAGGCCAGGATAGGGGTAGACTTAGGTTGCAGGTTTCAGGACACGTGGGGAGGAATAGACTGTGTTAGCCCAAGGGCTATTGGAGGGGAGGCAGTGTGGAAAGTATACAGAGAGGCCTACACCTGCATTCCAGCAGGGCAGACACAAGAAAGGGGCCATAGCATGGTGGCACATGACATTGGGGTAGCATCTGTGATACTGTGAGATTCTGGCCAAGGCATGAGCTGGTTTTGATGCTGTGATCACTTGTGAGCTATGGCAGTCAGTCTCTAAGAAAGAGAGATGCAGCAGCATGTGTTGAAGGCCTCCTTGGAAACTGAGTACAGGTAAGTGGAAATCTGGAATATGTAATGGAGAAGATGGGTAAATAGTTATTTACTGGACATGTGTCTAGAAGTCTGGTATGACAGAGGAAGAGAGGATAGAGTGGATTTGGCAAAGCCTGGTATTTAAGAAAGTTTGTGAATGGTAACAGCATTGGGAAAGATGGAGGAAGTAGATCCACACAGCAAGTGTCTAGAGGCCAGAGAACATCCTTCTACCCAAAGCAGGACTGGGGTCACAGGTGCTGGAGTTGGAAGCTGAATTTAGGAACATGAGAAGGACCTAGAAGGAAGGGGCACGGTAGACAGATGCCTACGCAGGCAGAGAAGGGGTGTGAGAGTGAGGTAGCGACAGAAACTCCCTGGGGTCTAGTACCACATAATGCAGACAGGTTCCTAGTGTAGTCCTGGGATTTGGAGAGTGGCTGGTCACACAATATGGGACTGGCAGATCAGGGCTCAACAAATGCAGAGAAAGCTTCTCTCCATAGATACCAAAGAGCAATAAAGGAAGAGGTCCATTGCCAATGCCCAGGCCCCAGTTCTGTGGGTTCAGAGAGAGCCCCCACAGCTCCACATACCAGGAGAGGATATATGTAAACGATATACATATGGGAAGATGACCTCATTGTGGTGCGTGTTCCTTATCCATTGACTGCCATTTCCCCAACAAAGCATGCTGTCCCTTTTCCTCTGGCTTGCTATAAATCTTTAGATTCCATTCCCAAAAGCTTGTCACCAAGCTGTGAGCTCAAAACCCTGACCACTGAGCATCACTACCACAAAGGTCAAGACAGGAGGCCTGAAGGTAGCAAACTGTGGCTTCAGTGCAATGCTAGCCAGAACCTTCTTTCTCACCGAACCTAATGGCATGCTGTTCTGTAACAGTTTGCTCTGCGATTGAAACATTCCACCTTGCAGGCTTCCAAGCAGCAAGGTAAACAATACAAAATAACTTTAATATCTCCCCCAAACTGACCAGATTCAATAGGTACCTCTATGCCAGAGTAAACAAAAAAAGCAGAGTCCCTGGAGAGAAAGAAAGACTGAGCTGCAAAGAAGTCTCTCAGAAGACAAAAGCTGCAAACAAGATTCCAGACTAGATCAGCTGCCTGGAAGAAGCAGAAAGTAGTTGTGCTTCCTGGAAGGGGTTTAGACCAACTGAGGCACCTGGAAAGGGCATGCTCCGGCCTGTTGAGCTGAATGCAGGCTGTGCAGTTGCTCCAGGTTCCCAATTTTGTTAGTTCTCTGTCACTCAGAATGGGATGGGCTTTGGTGATACAGCTGTCTTTGAAACATTTCTCCTCCTGTAAGTAACCCTTCACCCATATTCCTATAAGTAACTCCAATAAAACATATTGGTACACCAAGTTGAACTTTGGTGGTATCCGTACTTGGATGCATCACAGGGTCTCTATTTGTGGTGAGTGGATGACTGTGTCTTGTCTCACCAGGAACAGTTTTGTCACACAACACATGCAAGTAGTTTGAGGGTATCTCAAGAAAGCCATGCTAGCCAGCTGGTGAAGACATGGCAGCCCAGAGAAACAACCAACATCTCACAGGGGCAGTGTTTCCTGTGATCAAGTGCTTGCTTCTCTAATCCCATGTTCCCTTCTGTATCCTATTTTCAGATCATCAGTTGAAATTCAGCCAGATGTTACAGTGATATGTGGCAGGGCTGTGTGTTACCCAGTGCCCTCTCTGCTTGCATGCGTTCTGTCCTTTTGCCCGCTGATTTCACAAGGTTGGCTGTGGGAACATGTGGCTGTGGGAACATTCCACTTTCACCCTGGCTATTTCTTCCCAGCCTGACAGTGATCCATTCGCCCTTTACACTTTTAGCATAAATATATCTCTAATAATGTATAAAGAATACACATGAAACAGGAACCCAAGGTGTATGTAGTGGCATATGCCTACAGCACCAGCATTTGGGAGCCTGAAACAAGCTAGTCTAAAGTACAAGGTCAGCCTGGGCTACATACCGAGCTCAGTCTCCATGCCGCATGTTTATTGTTCACCTCTATTTTAAATATGCCCTAATGGTTCTCTAGTGAAACTACAACTATAAAATAGATGCATCATTACTTGACTAGCTTGAACAATTTTCCCTTTTCAAATTATTCCATGGATATTTGCCTGTAATTCAAGAGGGTTCCAGAAGAAAAATGTATACTTAGTACTTTTTATACATATATGCAGGTGCCTGCATAATACACAAAACACAAGCTGGTGTTGTCACACCAGCCTTTTCTGCTCTATCCTATGTCTTTTTCCCTTTCAAGTGCGTCAGGTTCTACACTGAGGATGTCATGGTCTATTACTCAGCAGAGACTTCAGGAGTCACGTAGGCAATAGACAGATCTAGTAGAAAGGCTTTCCATAGCTTTATTATATCCATATTTAGAATCTGACCCCAGGCCCAAGCGTTGGAAAAAAGCTGCTGGATTTGTGTCCTTTTGTTTCCATAGGTTCTTCTGCTTTGGACAGCTGTATGTGGCAAGTTTCAGAGTGAACAGAAAAGTTACTTTCTCACACTGGACAGAGCTTCTATTTTTTCACCTCAGGAAAGACTCTTGTATTAGGCTTAGCAAACTCGAAAAGAAGCCTTGTTCTAGTCTCAGAAACCAGAACATTCTATTGCATCAAATGAAAGACATTGCAAAGGTCTCTCTTTTTGTAACTAGGGGCTGCATAGAGAATCCTTCTGAGGACTGCCCATCTAAGGGTGGAGAGGCTGAGGAGGATATGGAGTGATGTCTGAGGCACAGAACCATACAGAGATAACCCCTCTGAACCATTAGCCTGTATCAGTTAACTCAAAGAATACCTCAGTAACTTCCTTACAGCTCCACAAACACAAAAATGTTTAGTGAACTTGTAAATCTACAAGCCTGTGGGAATTAATTGCCTATACAGCAATTTGATCCTGCACACAATTGCCCAATTGCTAGAGAGGTATTTTGGTTCTGTGTATTGGCTAAGTCCCTTGTGGCTCACTGCACTGAAGATGTTTAGGAAATAGACTGCAAGAGTATGAATGAGCTTTGAAGCATCTATGCCCCTAGCTGGGCTGCCTTGTCTGATCTTGGTGGGAGAGGAAGCACCTAACCCTGTAAAGACTTGATGTGTCAGGGCGAGGGGACACTCAAGAGGCCCCAATTTCTCAGAGGAGAAGGAAAGGGGGTTGAGGGAGGGACTGTGTGAGGGGAGACTGGGAGGGGCAGTGATTGGTATATAAAATGAATGAATGAATGAATGAATAAATAAATGGGAAAAAGGAAAGGGCCTAGATCGTGTAATTTAAAACTTCATTTTCCTCTTGAATGCTTTTCAGTCCATACAGCTCTATAAGTATGTCATTTGGGCCTGACTTTGTCCATCTCACTAACATCTCTCTTGACTGATCTCATTCTCTAATGTTCAGGAAATGAGTTTTGTGAAAATGGAAACAATAGCAGCAACAAGAACAACAACAAGAACAACAACAAGAACAACAACAACAATATCCAATAATAGAACAGACAGTTCTGGGTCAGGGAGAAGTCATTAATGCTCCCCCTTTCACAGACTATAGGAGGAGCTGAGTAATAATATTTTCTGGACCTCAAAAATCATAGCTTAACCCAGACTGGAAGCTGCCACTCAAGGCAGAATACAACTCAATCAAATAAGAAATTCAGTCTCGGTCTGGAGAGATGGCTCAGTGGTTAAGAGCACTGACTGCTCCTCCAGAGGTCCTGAGTTCAATTCCCAGCAACCACATGGTGGCTCACAACCATCTATAATGGGATCTGATGCACTCTTCTGGTGTGTGTCTGAAGGCAGCTACTGTGTACTCAAATAAAAATAAATTAATGATATTTTTTAAAAAGAAGAAATTCAATCTCTTACATTTATGTAGATGAATCCATGAAATGTGGTCATGGAAAAATAATTTAAATAAAATATCTAGAGGCATGAGGTGCAGGTACCAATTGCTCTTGGAGCAGAGCTGGCTCTTCAGGGGCCCTTGTTGGAGGGAACAGGTATGTAGCATATTCTCTCTTCTGTGGAAGTTCCTCCAGTCTACTTTCTTCT